GCGTGCCCGGTGGCGGGGGGGGTGGCAGGAAAGGCGGGGCCGTCTGAGTCTCTACTAAACCGGTCAAGAGCTTCCCCAGACGTCAGAGCTGGGGCTGCCTCCCAGCCCGGCCCCTGCAGTGAGGGCTGCACCCTTGTTACCGCCCTGTGTGCTCCCCAGCAGAGGCCAGGCCCGAGGCTTCCTGTACAGACGTGAGGAGCATGCGTACGTGTGCATGTGTGTATGTGCGTGTGTGTGTGTGTGTGTGTGCATGTGTGCGTGATGGGGAGGGTGTGGGCACATGTCTCATTGTTTGGACAGTGACCTTGAGGTCAGCTCTGTGGGATGATGGTCACCCCTTAAATGGCCTGAGGGATCCCAGGGCTCACAGACTTCGGGGGCTCTCTGTGTGCGTGATGGGGAGGGTGTGGGCACGTGTCTCATTGTTTGGACAGTGACCTTGAGGTCAGCTCTGTGGGATGATGGTCACCCCTTAAATGGCCTGAGGGATCCCAGGGCTCGCAGACTTCCCGGGGGCTCTGCACGCACTGTGGGCAAGAGGTTAAGGGCGGAGGCGAGTCGTCAGGCCTCTGGCTCCAGGCAGAGCTGGGTTAGTGTGGGGCCCCTTCTCCACAGCTCACGCAGCCTCCCAGCCTCTGGGCAGCGAGGCCGGTTATAGCAGCCGCTGAGCGTCACTGTGAGCGTCACTGTGAGCTTTGCTGTGAGGTCGCTGTGAGGTCGCCGTGAGGTCGCTGTGAGGTCGCTGTGAGCGTCACTGTGAGCTTCGCTGTGAGGTCGCTGTGAGGTCACTATGAGGTCGCTGTGAGGTCACTGTGAGGTCGCTGTGAGGGTCGTTGTGAGGTCGCTGTGAGGTCGCTGTGAGGTCGCTGTGAGGTTGCTATGAGCGTAGCTGTGAGGTCGCCGTGAGGTCGCCGTGAGGTCGCTGTGAGCGCCGTGAGGCCAGGGCAGCTGTTCCGCAGTGGCCCGTCCTGCAGGTGGACAGCAGTGCCTGCCCCCAGGATCCGTCCTTGACCCGCGGCTGCCGGTTGCTTTCCCACAGGCCTCTGCGGACCTGAGACCTGAGAAGGGCACGGACCCCGGATCCCCTGCGAAGGACAGCGTGATGCCCACCAGACACGCCAAGGTGCGGGCAGAGGACAGGCCTGATTTGAGGTGCACACGGCC